GTGCCTTAATAGCCCACCACACCCTTTCTTCTCAAAGAAGACTAACGGGCTTTACTGGTATTACCAAGCATTCCAACTGCAAGAAACTTCACTTTCTGAAGCTGAAATGGAGGAAGAAGCTGAAGGAAAGAAAGAAGCCATAGCTTCCTACTTTGTAAATCAAGCACCAAACTCCAACAGCTGAAGGAAGCAATGTCCTTTTTTATTTAATGAGGTACAGGCAGTACAGGCAAGACTCCTGTATTAAATTATGTAACAGTTACATATGCCAGGACTATCCCAGCACTACTCTGATCATCTGTGTGGTGTTGTTTGAGGGAAGGAAGAAGACAAGGTTAACAAATTTGGAAGAAATTCAACCAACTCTTGGATCAGACCATATGCAACTTGCTGCATTAAGAATTAAAGTCACTCAACAAAACATGTTTTCTACCAGAAGGAAAACAAAAATAAAGCTTAACTGGTTCTACTGAAACCAAGGAAGGTTAGGACAAGGACAGTAAACATGGCACAGGAGACGAAAGACAGGTAAAATCAGACACAAAATCTAACTTCAGCTCTGAGGAATGCAATACTAAAGCTCTGTAATTGCTGTGAACCAAACAGGAAGATGCTCGAATAGAGGTGGCCAGAGATTTGCAAAACAGAGTGGGTAAGCTTAAAAAAAGTTAAGAACCACTTAGATCATTAATAACAAAGATGATTGACTCCAACCCCACTCAAGGCAAGGACAGTTAGGTTTGGATCTGAAATGCTGACCTGGCAGCTTTTAAAAGACAGCTTTGGTAGGCTGCACAAAAGCAAAGGGAAGAAAAGGGAATGCAAAGAAGCTTTGGATGCTTCTCTCTTTCCTCAGGAGTTATTGCAGTGTATGAGACCAATGGGCAGCATCAGATTTCTCAATACTGACTTTACTTTTTGTTGGAAATGGCAAAAAATCTGATAGCATGGTGTTAAAGAGAATCTTACAGAAGAATGTTCTCTCTTGGCTGAAACATGCCATTTTTTGTCTGTGTGTGTTCCTTCTGCGTGCCATTTTTATCTGTATTATTTCTTCAGGTTTGGAAAGTTAAGACATTAGTACTACCAGGAAATTTTGAGGCTTATCAGAAAAGCTCTAGAGCATTCCTTCAGTTCTTGTATCTTAAGGGTTTATGAATATTTCCTCAATTGCACAAGACAGAAAACACTGGAAGATTCTGCGGGCAAAAGTTAGAGCTGCTGATAAATCTACCAGGTGGTATTTATTTACTCAAGTAATCACTTTGCTTCAGATAGGAGAGGGAACAGCTCTTGTAAAGGTACCAGAGAAAGACATTGCAAACTTGCTTCTTGTGACAGTACGTATGGAAAAGAGGACTCTATGGTTTAGTTGCAGCCCAGAAGGCCCCCAGAGGAGGGACTGTTCATTGCAGTGAACACACTGTCAAATACACCATTTGTAGACTTTAATTATAGTGCATTATTCCTGGACTGTGTTTTGGAAGGGGACATGAAGATACAGTTTGCTGCTGCCTCCAAAGCTGACGAAGCACCAAGATTTCCTACCAGCTAAAGATCAGCAGCAGCAAACGATGGTGTATTTACCTGAAATATTTTCTGAGACATTTTGATGATCTCCATGCATGTTTTTCTTCTCCATGGTCAACCCAACTCGTCTGTAAGTAACGCTGACATCAGTGGCTCATGGGTGGAGGCACTGCTCTGCAGATGTAAGAGAATCAGCGTTAGTGCCTATGACAGCTTTTGACTTAAGAGCATGTGAGTTTGCCTGTGTACACTTTGTCACATGCACATTTGTTTTCAGCATGTTCAAATCATGTTCCACCACATATGTCATGGTTTTCCCCTCTGTTGGAAAACACAGCTCTGTGGTTTGCAATCTCTTGTCCTTGATCCCTGCAGACCAATGGACTACTTTGAATGGTCTACGAAGAACAATTATAAAAAACTGCCTAGTAGCATTCTCTTGGACTGCACTTTCATAAGACTTTTTTTAGGATTCATATATCCAAATAGCTAGAAAAACACAACCTGACTGAAGTAGGGCTGTGCAGGAGATAAGAGTAGGCAATTCTAAACATTATAAATATCCCTCTTGTCTTAAAATCTTGGAATTTCAAATATTAGGCAGACATTGTGAAAAACATAAGCTCCCACTAGCCTATGTGAACTGTCCTCTTCATGAGCAGAGCATGTATCCAAGAGCACATCAATATAGGACAAATAACTGGGAGACATTAAAACCAAACTCTGAGGACTTCTGTTCCTACTAAGTTTTGACTAACTTTGTTTTTTATTTTCTGTAACCTAACTGTTTTGATCTGAAATTTGTTTATTACCTATGTAGATGCCACACTGAGCTAGAGCTTCTACTGAAATATGTAAAAGGGCTGGAATTGCCACATGAAACTGCCACAAACATTCTCCAAACATAATAAATAATTAATGTAAGTATAAAGTAATATTCATATCTATGGAGTTTGTCACATCAAGTCCTCTAAATATAGTTTTTTTCTCAGAAGTTATGCAACTTAAAAGAATTATTATTATTATTTTTGCTATTATTTTGCTCTTCCCATCTAATCTGGTAAACAACAATTTATGCCTGCAGCAAAATGCCTCAAATACAGAACAAAGCTGATCTCATCAATATGTAATCTTACATGGAATTCTACCTTATCTTTGGTTTTATCCTTTACTTCTTTGTAGATTTTTTTTTTAGAAGTCTTGTACACCAGAACTTCTTATTATAGCTTATAATAATTCTTATTATAGCTACATAACAAATTAAACTGACCTTACTAGAATTCCATGCCACCAGGACATGCACTAACAGTCCCATGTTAGCACTCCCTATGCTTGCAGAAATTACTAAAGCACTGATCTGCATAGTGAATATTTGTAAGGGAAGAAGTACTTTCATGATACTGCTTGAATGAAATGAAATTAGTACAAGTTCACAGAGACATTGATTTTGGGTACCTCCATTTCTGGATGTTGCAAAGAAGATACTTAAGGTCTAATTTGGAGAGTTCTGAACTTAGAGAAGGTTCCAGCTGTCAGTGACTAACAAGAGAAACTAAGCACCAAAATATGACAAATCTAAAATTTAAGATCTTTGTTTCAGCCATCTTTTTGGACAACACCATGGCTCAGAAGGGGATTTGGAAAAATGCTTTTTTTCTCCCGAGGAAATTGTTTCACGTTATGTAGACAGACTCCTTCCAGATGAATACAGGCATTTCCCTACAGTTGTATGTATTCAAATTACCCTACACTCTATGGAGTAGATTCTGTTTGAAAGCAAGGGTGTCACTGGAAGCCTGATTGAATGCCAGAGCATGCAAGACCAGTATTTAACAGAGATGCTTAATACATGCCTTGGGGGATTATTCATGCCATCTACTTTAGTCATCCAAGTGAGATTAAGCACCCAGGAGACCCATTTCCTTCTGCAGAGAATGCATGAAAAGCCAAGTATCTCCAGGAGACAACAAAGAGAGTTTAGGTGAAAACAACATCAGTTTAGACCCTCCTCCAAACATACCAGTAGCTCCATGATCTCTTAAAAGTCAATGTAGAAGGAGGAGCAATACCAGCAGGCAATTCAGACTTATAAAACATGAAACAATCTGCTGGGGCAACTTTTTCACCACTGAATATAATGAAAGCCAGGGATCCTGAGGTGCCAGTGGTATCTCTGCAGCCCACAGGGATTTTCTGAAGCATTTCTGGCAGCTGGTCTGGCACCATGAACAGCTGTTCCTTTACCTCTCACCCCTCACTCAACTGTCCATTCTGTGGGGCAGTGGGGTTTTCACAAATATGTCAGTATAGTTACCAGAGTGGAACTGTCTTCTGAGTGCTGCACTGAACTTTCAGTAACTTAACGGCTGCCAAATCTCACTAATTTTTTGTAACAAGCAGTAGATAACCTGCAAAATAGACATGCTGAAGTTCTTAAAGCATGGCTAATCGAGATCTGATTTTCAATGTCTAACGCTATTTCTTTTGGGGGTTTTTTTTTGTTTGTTTGTTTTTTATTTAAACTCCCACAATTAGTAATATTATTGCACCGAAGTTATATTTTCGTAACTTCCAAGCAGTTTTCTACAGCAGCCTGTAATTCGACACTAGGGGGCCTCTTTCTTCTTTCAGAGAAGGTCTGACATGTCATTATATCACCAAGGACTCACAGAAAAAAAAATCGTTAAGCAAATCTAAAGAACTTTGTTCAGTAAGGTTTTAAGATGAATATTGCAAAACTCACAGCTCACTGTTTCCTAACTGGAATGCATTCACTGTAGCTCAGAATACAGAACTCAGTATCTGTAACTTGGCTTGAAGCCTGAGTCTTGAGAATGTTTTGTCCACACAACAACCTCCAAGGAGGTATCCATAGTATTTTATTCCTGAAAAAAACCCCCAAACCACAATGTCCCTTTATCTAACTCATAAATGCAAAAGCATACAGAGGAGAAGAGGATCTGAAGATAAAATAGATACTCTTCCCTACTTGGCTTAGGTTTTCCCAGGTGAAATCCGAAATAGCAATCAAAGCTTCACCTGCCCCACTTGAATTAAGTTCATGCACTCTAATAGTGTGTCCTCTTTCTGCCAAGTGGCCTGCAAAAGCAGAAAACTGTGATGAATCACAGAGCATTTGAGAGGTTTTCATGGATGGTAAAAAATCTAATGGGATTGAGGTTTCTAATGCAGAGACCAGTACATAATAGTTTAATTGGAACATTTAGATTCCTTGAAGAGGCTAACCAGGAAGTGAGCATTGCCTTCAGCAAGACAGCACTCTGGCAAAATGGCCTCAGGAAAGGAGTTCTTAATTTGCCTCTCAGAATTTCCCAACAACCAAAAGCACAATCACTTTATTGCAAAATCACTGGACTCCTGCAGGATAAGCTTTGTGCTAAACAAATGCCTAAAAGCACATTCAACCCTTAGAGCAGTATGTGAGATTAGGTGAGATCATATGAGGAAATAAAGCATGTTTTGCCACAGTGTGGCTGAACAGCAACTTCCTCCATCAGTAGAAATGGGATGAATTTGTTTACAGAGCAGGTAAATGCTTCATGCCAGGCAGAGAATGACGGAGTCTGTAGAGCCAGTAAATTAGAAATAGCACAAGGATGATCTACAAAAGGCCGCTCCTTTGTCAAGTTCTGTGGAAAAGCAAAGTTTTTAGTGACTTCTTTTGGTCACCTTATGAAGGAGAACACGTGATCATCTGTCCCTTAGCCCTGTTGTGTTGCTGTAGCTCTGACTTAGCTCCAATGTTCCTTTTGAACCAGTAACAGGGAGGGTTTAAGACCCCCATAAAGCTGAAGACAGACTTCCTTCATTTAGTCTCCTTAATTATTGGGTCTATAAGAACTTGGAGACAGAAAGGGAGCAAGGGCAAAGGAAATGCTCTGTACAACAGCTGTAGGTGTCAACTGCCAGCATTGCTCTGTTATGAGTTCAGCTGGTCTGAACATCACTGCGTACCTGTGGTAATGGTATGACAAAGATCATGGGACAGGCACAGGTGGCATCACGAACACAACAGAGATTTATGACAGGATCCACAGCAGGAGGGAGCTCTGGGATCAGCCTCTCAATTCTTCATGTATCTCCAACCACATCCAGCTCAGGTCACTGGGCCTCGTGTTGCCGGTGTCGCAAGGCAGCAGAACGAGTCCTCAGCGCTGTCACCTGCCCGTGGAAAACCTGCGAGCATTCCTCAGTAATTATTCAGAGGCTTTCAACAGACCCTTGTACTGAATCCACCCTGTTTGTCCCACATGAACCTCCAACATTTTTTAAATGGCGGATTTTTTTTGATGGTATGTCTTGCTTAACTCAAGTGCTGTCTTAGCAGGCAGCAAGTACATAATTTCCCACCCAGCTTGCGTACGGTATGGATAAAATCTGCTCCTACCTTCAGCATGAAGACTGCTCTGGGTACTCCTTCAGCTCAATTAGCTACAGGGTAGCCCAACATTAACAACTTTCTGTTTTTATTACCTGTTTGTGTTTCCCTTAATCCTAGGGTGAGTTACCTGCAAAGTATCAAATCTCATCATAAAAGTAGACAGAAAAGCAGCCAGTTGTGTCATAGTTTGATTCATGTTGGACTCAGAGCTGAAGGAATAAACATTCCTGACTGATGGGTAATTTCTTTTCCGGGTGTTCCAGTGGATGAAAGAAAAATCCCTTAGCATTCCTACAGGAAATGAAGGTCAAAATTAAATCAGATGAAAGACTGCCAGATCCCAGGCTGAGAGCCAGTGATGTCCACAGGGCTCTCCCCAGTTAATACAGTACATATTGTGTCATACCATGAAGCTTTTTTTTCTTAGACTTGTCCTTAAAAACAACTCCCTTAGGTTGTGTTATTTCCCTAATAAAAGCCCAAATATACCAAACTACAGCAGTCTATTAGGACAGATTTTGAAAAAAAAATATTTTCACTATTAAACGTGTTCATTACACCACAAAATCTATCTGGGTATAAAAGCACATTCTGAGGGGGACCTTTGTCAAACATTTTTACTGCTTATTGAATTGCTCATGGAACAATCTTCTTGCAAAGAAGCACAAGCACTTTGAAGAACAAATTCTACACGCTGTACTTACCTGAAAGGAGACAGTTAATACAGAAAAACAAGGACATTCAACACTTTATGATAAAAAGGGATTCATAATGCTCTATAACCCTGGAGTTCATGACAGTAGAGATTTGTATAGAGAGATTGGACTGTCCTTCCCTTGGAATAAACCTCACTGCAATCAGTGAAGGTGTTGGCAGTGTAAGATGCCAACACTTGAGTGTCATGAGATCTATTTCATTACTTGTAAAACTCCTTAAAGGACTCACCAGAGAAAGCCAAAAAACACAAAAAACACAAATAGATGCCACTCAGCATCTATTGAGAAAACTTGCCATGCTCCCCTGCAAGGGGAGGCCTAAACAGCTGTATGTCACATAAACATCACCTCTTGGAGTGCTTCATTTTCTCCAGAGACAGGGCTAGTTGCTATATATTTTCTACCCTGTCATGACACAGCTGCATGCCTAGCACACACTGTATTCATAATTTTCACTTTCCTGTCATTGCAAAAGAGCTCATGTTTGGATGCTGTCCTAACTGTCAGTGCAGATGTTTTGCTGTGCTTTTGAAGGAGGCTGTGTGCTGCATGGCACTGCACCCTGGCTGGCAGGGCATTCCGGGGTGCCTGGGGCTGGGATGTTTGCAGCTGACACCTCCCCACTGCCAAGCCTCGGGGCTCACACACCAGCTGTCCACAGTGCCAGCTGGCAGCAAAGCACAAAGGGGCACGTTTAGGGCACAGACAAGTTACTTCAGAGTTCAGCCCCACGCTTCCAGCACAGCCAACACCTCTATGTGCATGTGCTTCCTCCACGATGAATGAACTGCAATATGTGTGGGCAGGTAACTTCAGAGAACAACCTCTGAGGCATCCCTAGGGAAAGCAGAAGACAGTTAAACTCAAGTTTAAATAGTAATAATAATATGCTGCTTCTACTTCCTTATGGATATATTATATGAATGTAACATCTTTCCATTTCATTGCATTAAGCTCTCCCACACATTGTTCAAGAGTAACTATATCTCATATATCCAGTACATCTCTGCCTAATGCATTTAATGATTATACCATTTCCCTTCTTGCTAGAAATGCTTCTTACATTTGTTACAAGGTGAGTGTGATTTCTAGAGACAACCTCGCTCTATGTTTCATTTCAGCTGTCTGTCGTGTTGGATAAGTCACATTTGCACTGTTGTTGATTTTCTTATTTGCTGTAAAAACAATAAAGTGTTTCAAATTACAATTCTAAAAGCCAAAAATCACACTGGATCCTGGCTTCCCCTAATTGCTTGTTTTACAGGAATGGAATGGAGCTTTGTGATTTGGTATTTGTTAAGACTGAAGAGCTACTGGGTGTCAGCAGGGGAGGGGGGTAAGTTCAGATGTACCTCATGGCAGGGATATTAATGTCATGACCCTCATCCACTTCCATATCACTCTGCCCTGTCCCTGTGAAGTGCTTTGGGGATTGAGTTCTATCCGGAGCTTACAGTGTCAAATCCAGGCTCTGTCTCAGCTAAAGAGGAAATGCAAAGTAAACATATGAAAGAGGCTGGCTTGCTCCCTGTCCCTAGACTCTTCAATTCCAGGACCAAGGTCCAGACACATTTTAGCCAGGTCTGTGCAAAGCAGTTGGGTGTCTCACAGGGTTAGGCATTACTTCCCTTTAAAGACAGACTCCCACTGTTTTTAACAAACAAATTTCAAATTTTTCCCGTTTGTTTTTTTCTTTTTTCTTTCCCATTTTGATTCTAGTGAAACCTGGCAAACACGATGGAGCATTGCCTCTCAGCCAGATACCTCCCTGGATGTTCTGCCACCATCATGGTGACAGGCTGACCACTATACTGAAACCAGAGGATATGTGATGTCGAACACAGCGGCCCTGGGCTCCTTCTGTAGACAGGTATCTGGTAAGACAAAGCCATAGGACACTCACAAACCCTTCCCAGCAGAGCCCACAGGCCAGAGGAACAAGCCACCCTCTGTTGCACACAGCTGGATCCCACAGCAGGCAGGCATGAAGACAGCACATCCCAGGACCTTGCTGAACAGAGTAGCCCTTCCCAACAACACTGGTCATTTTCCTCCATGGGAAGCAGATTTGAGACCAGAGCAACAAGTCTGCCAGCATGGAAGAAAGGCTGCCAGACCACCTCAACCCCCACACTTCAGGTTTCCTGCATTCCTGCCAGGACCGCTCAGTGTATCCAAAAGGTTTCATTTTCATAGGGAAACGTGAGCAGTTCACTTGCTCCATGGCACCTTCTTGCCCTTCAGCCAGGACAAGGGGACGTGTTGTGAAGGGAAGCCAAGTTGTGGCAGTCGTCTGCAGAGTGGCAAGATGATATTCCTGCTCTGCATCTGGCAGGAGCAGGGACAAGTGTGCTGAGTGGATGCCAACACAAGATTCAGGTGGTGTTGAATTCTCAGGGAGAACATGCTGTACCAAACATTCCTTATTGTATATCTTACATAAACAAAGTATTTAGCTCACCACCCTGCACTAGCTCATGATAATAAATGCCTTTCTCTGCTGCATATATTGAAGTTGTGTAGTCAAGCCGGCTCAGGGACACGCACAGGATGCTCAGTTTGTACTGAGATGCTTTCTGCAATCATTTAAGCTGAGAGTAATCAGCTAGAGCTAAAAAAGGAAGGCACAAACAGGTTTTGCTGTGCAAATACATCAGACATGGAGTGACCCCTGTAGGAAACCATCTCTTCCATCCTTCTTCAGGGGGACAGGCCCAGAAATGCTCCAGGACATTCTCCTCTCCAAAGGGGAATTCCCCTGCTACCACTGTCAGCTTTTACTCCAAACTCATCAGCATTTCCTCGTGGTAGATCACAACACACACCTTGCACTGGGGGATTTCCACTCTGCTGCACCATGGCAGAACAGAGTCAAAACCCAGTTGTTGCTCATAAATTCATATCTCTGTACTTGCAGAGTGAGCAACACTAAGCAACCACACACACTTGCAAAATCCCTGCCAAAACTGTGTGAATTGCTCCAGTGTCCGAAAGTCAGGGGGGGTGCTGGGGGATGGCCAGGCTGGCCCGAGCAGGACTCCCAGGCTTGCTCACCCCAGGAAAGGGCTGCAGGGCTCCTGCATTGGACAGGGGTCTGCATTTTCTAGAGGTGCCTCAGGGCATACAAGGCTTGCAAAGGACCAGGGTGGGAGGTGGAATTGGGGTCTGACACAGAGAGGCTGCAGCACTGCACAACAACTAAAATCATTTGCAAATATCAGCAAAATATTCTCCTGAAAGGAAAAAAAAGTAGCTTCAAATTTACAAGGAAAAGAAATCTACTTAAATTTTTGTTCACATTCTTTTGCTGAAAATCTTGAAAAAATAAACACAACATGTGGAAACTGTGAAGCCCCTCCCACACATACATTTTTTGTTAAAAGTCCTCAAAAATCTCATGAGAAACTTGAATATGACAGAAGAAATTCTTAGAGCTCAGCATTAATCAGTTTGCTCTAAAAATAAAGCAAAACCCTTGATACAGCACTTCCTCTGCTTCCATATGAGGTTCCTCTCGAGACAGAGTTTTTTGGATGTTTGTTTAACCACACTACTCAAATTCATGACCTATTAGAGGTACAAGGCAGATCTGGTAAACAAAAATGTCTCACTGGGGTCACTCGGTTTGTCACTCTTGCAGAATACGACCTTCAGGGTAGACTTCTTTTGAAACTGCATTTTGAAAGAAGGAATTTTGCCACACACTCAGTACTCTTTTTTTGTTTCCCTGTTTCTCGGAAAGTAACATTGTGTGCAGCTGCCTCAGCCCCTGTCAGTGGTTATCAATCCCTGCCCTCCAGCAGACAAACAGAAGTTTGTCCCACAACAGAGGGAGATGCTGCATTGCTGCTATCTCCTTGGGAAAGTTTTGTCCTTGTTTTCTCTAGCCCCTCACAGGTGTAAATGCAACTGGATTTCAGATCACCATAGTATTTCCCTATCAGCATAAGTCTGCACACCAGGCAAAAGGCACAATCCTTGTTAAACACTGTTCTTTTTTAGCAGGTCCAACCTGACATACAGAGAACGTGCAGTCTGTGCCTACTCCCGGGACAGGTACAGCTGAAGCACAGGTACCACTGGGCTCAAGTGGTGTAGATTAGCTTTTGTTTTGAGACTCCAGAGATGTCAATTAATGTCCCACTTTTGTTCATTGCTGACCTGTATTGCAGCAAAGGCAAAAAGTCTCCCCAACCTCTTATTACTCCTCTGAGCCTGCACTTTGAACACCTGGTAATTTTCTTAGTGCACTGGTTTCTGTTGCTGTGGCATCACTGTGTTGCTGCCCTTATTGCTAAGCAATTAACAGATTGTCCTTCCAGAAATATCCAACACCCCAGACACTATTAGCTCCTCGGAACATTTTCAACAAAAACATTCCAGGGGAGCTGTATTAGTAGCTCTTTCACTTTCAGGGACAAGCATCTCTCCAACCACATATCCCGTTCCAGAACACCAGACCAGGACA